GCATTTAATCAAGCTTCTAAGACATTATGAGTGTAAATTATTAAAATTATTTCATAAAGATCAGCAGGCAGAAAAAGATGGTGTGAAGTTGTTTCTAGTGTTAGTGCTTTTTTTCAGTTTTACATTTCAAAGGAAGCTATTGAACAATGCAATTATTTGTTTGGAGGCCCTTGGAAACACAAGCTAAGATCACAGTGTCCTTCAGCCTAGGCCCTGAACATGGGAAGGAAGGGAAGGAGAGAGAATCATTGCTGCTTAAGTCTGGGTTAAAAGCCATAGTGGCATAACGCTTTACCCAAGGTCACACAGCAAGTCAGTAGCAAATGCAAGAATAAAACCCAGAATCCTGGCTCAGTACAGTATTCTGTAGACCCCATCAACTTAGCAACAGGACTCATGCCCCTCGGTCTAATTAATCTACTCAGCAATTCAGTGAGTAATTTAAGTGCAAGCAAAAACAAACACCAAGAGAAGTGACAAATTCTACTGTGGCTTGTGCTATTTGCTTGACTCAGGAGAAGGTGCTTCCCTGGATGAATCTACAATAGGGTCAGGAGATGTTTTGTGCCTTCACTTTGTTTCTTGTCTGTCAACCTTTCTGATAAGCTGTTTAAGGCATGCTCAGTATATTAGAAAGATAGAGAGTGGAAAAGAAACAGGTGAAAATAAACTTCTCCCTTTATTTTAAAGTGCATGAATTGAGTATTAAAAAAAAAAAAAAAACCAACTTGGCCACAAGTAAGTTACATAACTTAAGCCAGTCTAAAATTACGTGCCAGCAATTTACATGAGTTTTATGTAACTGTTTATACTGCTGTTTATTTAAAAATTACTACTTATCTTGGCGACCGCAGCAACACATCATGCATTTGCTAGGTCTGGAATACAGGGCACCTTCATTAAAACACATAGTCACCAATATATTAAACACACAAAAAAACCCTGCTCTGACATAACGTGAAGTGTCAGATGGAAAGCCGCAACAGCAAAGACATTCAGCGTTCACAACAAAGCAGCCCTTTGGGGTGTTCAGAACAGGACTGGAACATGCTCCATCCTTAATTCACCCAACAGCTTTCAGGTCCTTACAGCACAGTTGGTACAGTCTACAAGACCAGCTCTTGTTCCTGAGCTCTTATAAAGGACCCTCTTCATCTTCAGGTTTTTATACTTGAGCATTTTTATATTCAACTTTTAAAGTGCTGAGGTTAGCTAGCCTTTTGTTCTTTCTTAAAGTCCCAAGTATTTCAGAGTTACACAAATGGTTGATATTTTTTGTTTACTACCAGAGCAGTCTCTCCCAGCACTCTCCCTTAGAAACTAGGCAAAGATTTAGCAAAATCTTCATGACGGGTTGCTCATGCACAAAGTTACATAATTTTTAGAGCCAGGTTAATCACAAGGATAAGACCATGGATGTATAGATTTGTATTGGTACCAGAAAGAGCTATATGCATCCCACATAGCCAGAAAGTGTGAGCAACACTGGCCTAATAAATGTAATATAGGTCATAGGAGTTTGTCCCTTGTTGTTTTGGGACCTGCTGAGTGAACAAGACACTCTATCTCTCCTTGTCTTCATTTCCCCATCTATAAAATACAGACACAGGTATTCGCATCTTTCTAAAAGGTTTAAAACCCAGTGAATGAGTATAGTAGAATATTGTGTATTATTTTTAGATTACAGTTATGGTAGAAAGCTGAAATCCAGCAATGTATAACAGGAGATATAAACTTAAGTGATAAATGACTTAAGTTGATTTGCATTTCTTTAAAAGTATATCATGTCATCCTCTTCTCACTTGAATCAGTAAAATAATGGGGAAAAAAAGTTTGTTAAAACCAAGAGTAAATAAAAAATTCCAAAAATTGTTATGAGTTTATGACAGATATCATGAGTCAGAGAATGACATTCTGTCAAAAATAGCAATGCTTCAGTGTATCCTGTTGATACGTTTTCAGCAGTACTTTGAAACAAGGGGGAAAAGAAGGCGCTATTCCAACACAGCTGTTCAAAAAATACTTATTTTTCAGTTACAGAATTTTGATTGAAACTGGGGGGCAGATTTTTTTCCAAATGCGAGCTTTTAAAATACATGTATTTGAAAATTGAATTTTGAGTAATTTTGTATACACCATCTTCTTGGGTAAATATGCTTTAAAAGGGGGGTTCTCAGTCATAATGATAACCATAACCTGATCCACAAGCTGATATCATATTCTTATGTCTTCAATTTCACGGGTCTCAGCCACCACAGGGTAAGCTAAAAAAATAAGTGCAAAATGCTGGCATGACTTGGCTGTGTAATGAGAAGCACAGCTGAGCCTCAGCCTAGCAGCCGGTGAAGACTCGGCTGGTTGATGGGACCAGGGTGGATGAGGGTTTTTGCCCTGCACATGGGGTTTCACTAACCACGCGAGTAGGGGCAACAGTTTGCCCTAGAACATCAGAGCAAGGCTGTGATTTATTATTTCAAACCCCACTCCCACAGCTGTTCCTGAGACCGCTTTAAAGGCAATGTCAGCCTTTTCTCCCCTTGGTAACTCAGCTTCTTTCTCTGAACTCAATGGTCCTTGATTATTTCTGAGAACAAACTGCCACGCTGTTGCTAGTCATAATACCAGTATCATGATGGTCCTGCCATACACATGCTTGCAAACATGTAGGATTGCAACCCTGTTTAGATTAAGGCAGTTAATTCCTCTTCAGGCAGTGTGTTAGGATCTCTTAAATATTAGAAGCATTTTCTAAATGCCAGAATACAAGTGGAAGGGTTGAGCAGCAGACCCACATCAAGAATAGGGCTGCAATGTTTATTTGCGCAAGCTTCCCAAATTTAAATATGCCTCTTGAACTGCCAGTTTCTGTTTGGGCAGTCTCCAGTCCATTAGAACAGCTAAAATTTTGGGAAGCTCAAAAGTAGCTTAAAGCTGCTTATTTCACCATTGGCTTTTGTTTTGTGCTGCCTAAAGTACAACCTTACCGTTGCTCCTCATGCTGAGAAGCACACTCAGTCATGCCTGGGGATTTCAATGAAGACAGGATTTTTGGCAGAATCTGTCTTGGACGACACTGTCTTGCTTTACATGAATCTTTGAAAAGAAAAACAGTGTCTGAAGTGACTGCAAGCCTATTGATAACACGTTCAGCAGTACAAACAGGGTTTCCCCAATTTATCCTTCTGGAAAACAGACAATGTGTCTAAGTTTGCAGCATGTATACAATGTCCTCAGTGATTTAATACAGTGGAGTTATAAACCCTGAAAATCATGGTTTACAATGGAAACTGACAGGCTATCAAGTTCAATGGTACTTGTAAGTATTCCTATAATTAAGTTGTCAACAAAAATCTGCAATATAGTACTGTGACAGTCTTTACATTTTCATACTAATGTACAGAGATAGCTTGAGCTAAAGGTGGCAGTAATTAGTTATTTAAAATGCATGGAAAACTAGAAAAATACACACTGAAAAAGTTCAAAGACAGTAGACAAATCCAATATTCTTTTCATTGCAGCAAATAAATACAAAAACGTTGCAGAACATGCCGTGCATTCACAAACTGCAGTCACAGAAAAGGAGCAATTTGGAGAGAAAGGAAATATCAGTTGTGCTATTGATACTTGGCTATTTTAGAAAAATATGTTGGCAGTTAAATGTTGTATATGCTGAGCAAAAAATCCCATGAAGCCTTTTACTTTTGACATGAAAATACCAGTATGGCACAGCCAGAAGATGAAAATTCCACATGTTAATATTAAAATACCTATACTCTCTGATTGATTCTACACTATTGACTCCAATACTAATAAATATGCAAATAAAGTAGCTATAAAATATTTTGTGAATCTTAAAGGAAAACCTTGATTTGAATTCTCCGCTTTGGTGTAAATCCAGAAAATTAATGGGATTTTCCCATGTCTACAGTAAAATTATTTAAGAGATTAATTTCACTATGTTTTTGATACGTTTTCCTGGAAGTTGAGTCTGAAGTACAAATGACTAAAAAATCCCAGATGTATGACTCCAGGATTAACCTTAACTCTAATCATGGTACCTGTCATTAATAACGTATAATTTAAGAAAAAGGCTGTTTTCCTACCTGAAGCCATCGGTTCCCCACTTACATATATATTTTTTTTTAAATCATCTAGTAGTTTTTCATGGCCTGTTTGATACTATTTTACATGCACATTCATTTTTGCAAGTACCAAGGAAGAGTACTGATATCAGGACTACTAATTTCATAACCCCATTAAACAGGAATACAGTCATCTGTACAAGTTGATGGGAGCACTTTGGTGAAGGCAAGACGGGTTGGGAGTGATGTGTCATCCCAGTGCCACTTAATTCACTTCAAAAATTAATACAACTTAATAGGTCCTTGTGGAGCTCTGTAATTTCAGTGACCACAGCAGCATTAGGCTTGGACAAGAGAGCCAGGACCCACTGGAACCAATTCAGAGACTCTAGTGAGTGTCAGATCTAGTCCAAGGAGGGTATTTCCATACAAATTAGCCCAGGCTAGGTGATGAGAGTTTTGTGGATCTGTGGAGCCAAAAGAACTCTCTGCCCATGCTTACCTATGCAGATCCAATTGCAAAACTGTACTTTTCCTTAGTTTGGACGTATAAACTGCCAAATGGCAATAGGAGCTCCAAATCTTCTACCTACTCTTTTCCACTACTTCTCTTTCTTTAAAAGGAAATTGTTTAAATGAGGGCAAATGTTGACTGAGTGTAATTTATATTGCAGTGTGTTTTTAAGCATTCTTTCCTGAAAAGCTTTAGAGCAATATTTTGCTCTTCTCTCTCATACACAGAGATATAATTTAATTATTGTGTGAAGTTTTGCTAAACATTATTGTTAAAAATGACTTTTGGTATCCACATGGAATGGAAAACTGCTAGGAGCAAAGTTAACCTGTGAGTGATTCAAGTACTTCAATTTCTTTGCTTGGACTGGTATCTGATTTGATTTTCTGCTATTTGTTTCCTAGTGGAATGGAGCTCTTCAGAAGACTTTTCTCCTCTGGCTGGTGAAATAATTATGGATAATCTTCAGTCTTTGAGGTGCACCATCACAGGTCTTAGAACAGTAAGTGCTAAATGACTCATTTAAATCTTGATGCCCCCTGCCGCCCCACTGGTACAAAGACACTGATAATTTGCATCCATGCCTGTTGGTAATAACTGTAGAATGCGTTTCTTCTAGCAACAAGTTCCAGTCATTAAGCATAGCATGTCTAGTATCCATAATCTGAAAGTCATAAAGGAATAGACAGACAGCATGACCTGTTTTAGAAGTTGTCATGCTTAGTGGAGATCAGAAAAGCCTGGAGTGAAAGCTGCTGTTCTCTGGATCACAGGATAATCTTAGTGCAGATCAAAGGCTCACGAAATATCTAGTCCTGACTCTGATGGCCAATAGCTAAAATAACAGTTCTTTCTCTTCTGCTTCTTCCAGGAACACACACGTTGATGGCAATAATTTTCCTTTTTGTTACTTATTTTTGTATAGATATTTTACACTGATAACAACTGGGTCAGCAATGGAGAAAATTGATTAATATTAATATGGATTCTCAAGCAGAATAATTTTGACCATGTGTCTGAAAGTATTTTTCCTACAGGCCATTTGTGCAACCAAATGTTGATTCGCTAAATACTTGATGGAAATAAAACTTGCTCAAAATACATCTATTTCCACTGGAAACATCATTAGAGGGGTCCAGCCCAGCATCCACTGAGCTGGAGCCTTTCCACTGAATTCACTGCACACCGAATCAGGCCTACAAAGTTATAGTAGGGGGAGGTATGCATGTGACCCTTGGCCAGTGCCCCAAAACATGGGCTCTCAAAATGAGAGCATTAGCTTTAAAGAGTAGGCAATGGGCACAATATAAAACTCTCTACATAGAATAGAAAAACATAAAAATTGGGTTTTTTCTAGTCTTTTATCTGAAGAAATCTTTGTTCTGAAGCAAACTGTCTTCCAGGGAGCTGAGCCACAATATGCATTTACTCTGTTTATCATTTTCTAACAACAAAGCAGAGTAACTGTTCTTAAGTTAAAATCAAGCAAGCTTGCAGAGTCACTTCCATAGTCACATCTTAACATTGCTTACTGTGTGTTTGTCTATACTCTCTAAAGTATATAACATATTTAAATTAAAAATTAGACTTTCAGAAGTACTCCCCATTAGCCTCAATCTATGCATCAAAATCAGTGATAAAGGTCTGACTGATTTCAGTGGCAGCCAAACAAAACTTCTTCCACTGCTGCGCAGGCAGAGAGACTGTTAAATACAACAGGAAAAGGGGGAGGCCCTATTCCTGAAGTCTGATTGTAAGAGTTCCCAGGGTTCGGCTTTGGTAGAAGAGATTGCGGTTTGTCAGCTGGAACAGGCGTGTTCTGTTAACCCTCAGCAGATCACCTGTCTTGAAATCTTTGTACTGTGTTTCAATCTGTCATGGTGTATCAGTTGGTGCCACTGAAAGCTATTTAAGTTTTTCAAAGAAAACATCTTTCGGAGGGACTGCTTTCCAGTTATTAGAGCCAAGATTTTGAGTCAAGCGATAGTTTTGACTCCAGTTGTTTCTGTTTGCAGGGCCAGAGGTATTATGTCCATGTTTCAGCATACAACATGAGAGGATGGGGACCTCCACGCAAATCTACTCCTGAATATGCTTCTCCTTCAAGTAGGTTGAGTTCGTCTACCCTCCTCATTTGGTTAGTGATGTTGCTTTGTAAGAATTTCTCCCTCTTCAACGAACAGAAAAAGACAAATATTCTGGAGTTCATGATTTAATTACCATGTCATCTAGGAGTGAAATAAAAAACTCCACTCCTTCTACCCCCAAAAAATAATCATGTATGTATATTTATTTGTCTTATATTTTATTCTTCTCCAGTCCTTTGACAGAATACTGTCATCTAGTCACTAACACTTAAAAATGTGAAATATTTTGACCTTCATTTCTCTTAATAGAGTTCTGTTATATGGAACCTCATTTGTCAGAACATGAATGGATCAAAACCTGAATCAGAACTGCTAGAACAAAACAACTTACATGTATCATATGTAATTTTGAATTCTGCCTTGTAGCCTTAGAGATCCCATTCACTGGACCATTCTTATAGCACCCTGTATGTAAAATACTCTACTGCAGACATGTATGCTGATAGGATCTAGCCTGTAAGTACTAAAATGTTCCAGACATGTCCAAAAGCCTTTCTTCCTTTTCATACCTGTGACAGGTTTTCTCAGACTCCATTAGGACCATGATTTTTCATTTGTAATTTTTAATCTATTATAATCACATTTTATTGTTAGTTGCTTTTCCAGACTTAGTGTTCACTGCCAAACTGGCTCAGCATATTACAGCTCCCCTTGTATTGATTAATGCAGTAAAGCAGGACTTTTCATTTTATTGCATTAGCACTTGTTTTTATTAGGCTAATGTAACAATTTAATAACCTTGCATGCTAATGTGAGAAAATAAAGCAAGCTATACCTACTCTCCGTAGTCATAATGAAGAAGGTTGGATAAATGACATTCTTGCAGTGCCATTGTCCTATTTTGCTTCAATTTTGCTCTTGTTTACCTCAGAATAAAACCAGAACTAGGCTAAAGAAATATTCTGTTTGAGAACAAAAATGTGCTCCAATTGTGGGATAAAATTCTACTCTCGGCTATGTGAATAACTCACTTCTATGGAGTTGTTTTAAATAACTTAGTGACATGCAATTACCTTGACTATAACCAGGTATAACTACACAGGATTTGGCCCCACAAACAAAAAATTTACATCAGCTGAGAAACAGACTCCTTTACAGTAGCTGCTAGTTAGTCAGCTAAATATCCCCAAAGAACAGGGCACTCCTGGCCAGATAGGTGGCATTTAAGACCGTAGCTTTGTATGTACAAACTTGTGCTTCGAGCATACTGCATTGCCTTCCCTGTCTATTTCTTGTCCACTGTTTCTAACCTTCTGAAATATGACAACATGTGCCAGTTGCAAAGCTTTGGGATGTAAGGGAAGTTTTCCTGCAGATTTCAGTGGATCAACACAAAAACTATGCAGAGAATTAAGTTCATTTCCCGTGTTTAGCATCTCAGGGATTCTGAGCTTTAGAATAGCAGAAAGTCCTAGACTTGCTGGCGTTAGGGCCATGTTGTTGAGTGCAGCTGCTCAGAACTCAGTGAAGTCCCTGCTTCCACCAGGGAGAGCAGTACCATCCACGGCACTACTACCAAAGTGCCTGGGGCAATCATTGTGGGGGTGTTTCTCTGAAAGGAAGCCAAGGTAACAAAAGGAATCTTTTGGATTTCCCTGTAGGAGAGCAGGAGCATCACTTGATATATATGGGGTGATTTGTGGATTTATGGCAAAGAGAAATGTTTCTTTGTGGCTATATATGTATGTTTTCTTTGTTGATGAACACAGAAGCACTAGGTAGACTCAGTTCACTGTAGATAGATAGCTGGCAAGAATGTGGTATTTTCATTAAGTATCCTTAGTGACACAGCCAGTGAGGCCATCAGAGCCTAAATTTAAATTATTTCATTAGGTAATACTAACATCAGAATTTTAGCTTGAGAGACAAGATGCTATTTACCACAGCAGTTACTGGGGGCAGAACTTTATCCATGTGACTGCCTTCACCACTGCTTTTGAAAACGAGCAGATTTGTGCTTGGCAAGAACGCAGCAACCTGAAATTACACCAGTGTTGCATAACAAAATATGGCCCTAAGCTAAAAATTAAACGTGAATACATTAATACTATACAAAGTTGTCTGTAACAGCAGCCAGAAGAATATGCAAGGGAAATGAAAGCTTCAGGGCTTAATCCTGATCCATTCCAATTCCAGAGCATCAAAGGTTAGTGACATCCTTAGAGATGCATCTGTGTAGCATGACAGTGAATGCTTGCCACTGTCCTCCTGTTTCCCCCACATACACAGTAACCGCCTGGAAAGTGGTGGCCAGTGTTGTGCAGCTGGTCTGTGAAATCGTAGTAGATAGTAACACCTCTAGGCTTATTCATTATCATGTGAGTGATGGACAATGAGGGTGATGGACAATGAGGGAAGCTGGTCTGATTTCCATGTCATTTTTAAGGTAGTCAGCAATCTGGAGGCTCAAAAAGTTTGAAAACCACTGGGACAGAGAAATCATGAGGTTGTTCAAAACTCTACCAGATTACACCAAAGCACTTTGAGATTGGTGAGTTCCAGTCAGTTCCTCTGAGCTGCTCGCAGGCAATCTAAGAACTGGCCTCCCCACACAGAGCTATAAATGCAGCTGGCCCTTGATCTCTGCAATAGCACACAATGTGCAGGATAGCCACTCTGCAGCTGTTAGAGCTGCCCACAGGCTATAAGGATAGCAAATGTCTTCTTCTCTTTCCACCCTTTCATGAGGCTTACTGTAGCTGCTATAGTAAATGGCAGCAAACACATATTTATATCCCTGGCATAGTGAGCCCATTGGAAGGAATGCTTGACTCCAAATTTGCACTAGAAACTAGATCTGTATATTTAGTGAGTGAGCAAACTGTTGGTAGCTGTGAATACGTACATGGCCTCCCTGCCAGCAAGATGGAAGCATGTCTCCCTTGCTGACAGATCTCTTAATACCTTGATCCACCATTACCTTGAGTCAGGAAACTGGTGCAATTCTTTTTTCTTATTATAATGAAAGTATGAAACTAGTCAAGTCTGGAATTAAAAAGCTTCTCTCTGACACACAGTTTCATCCTCCTACTTGTGATGAGATTGTCTGGTTTTTAAAATCAAGACTGAGATTGTAGCTAGCAGCAAATGAGTGAAAACAATGTCTTTTGTAGGTTGAAGGTATGTGGGACAGAAACCGCAGCTTCTTGCCTCACGAGTGCAGTGCTGAGCAGACCGTAGACTCTAGGGCAGGAATTGCCAGCGTTTGCTCAGGCTTCTCTGCTGGGAGCAGATTTTCAGAAGTGATTTTACTCAGAGCATGTTTCTGTGGCTACAGAGCCAACTCTGGGTGTAGGAAGATGTTAATTCTCTGCTTTGCAATCGGTTTCCTATACAGCTGTAGGAGAGTCAGTTAGCCTCCTGGTGTCTCAACAAAATGCAGAGAGCATAGTGTGATTTTAGTGAGGTACTGAGAGTGTCAGTACGGCACAGGCTGCGAGCAGCTCTGACACTACAGCAACAGAGGCCGTTTATGTACTGAAGAGAAATAGCCATTGTCTAGTCAGTCACTACAGGAGCTTCTAGGAGCTGATTGTGAGCTCTTTGTTAATAATCATTATGATTAATTACCTAGCTGGCACAAGGCAAAGGAAACTTATTATACAAGTAGCAACAGCACACTTAAAAACAACTGCCATTTTTTCCAGCATGCCCAGATGTAAAATTCCTCTAAAGCCAAGTATCAGAGGCAAGGAAATATTTTAAAACCTTCTGCTGCTCCTTTGTGTTTCATTTCTGTTTATTTCCTTTGTTCAATAGACTGGAAAGACTGCAGTGGAAGAGAACCTCGGCACAGGGGACACACTGAGGCCCTGGAACGTCTCCTTCAGCAGGTTCGAGCAGCTCATCAGCATTATAATTGCAGAGGTAAGGATAAATATCTATGTGGTAGGGCACCAGCTGAAGCCTCTGTGGCGCCTGTAATTTTAGCAGTTTTCTAACTAGGTCATACCTTCTCATTCATCAGGAAAAGAAAGATATTAATATTGGCCCATCTGGAATCACTTTAGCGCACTATCTTGCTCTTAACCCTTGAAATTAGTTGGATGAAAACATCTGAAAGCTAGAATGCGCACAAGCACAGACACACCCTTTCTCCCTCTGTACCCTACACACCTATTGATTTGTTTTTTCCTACAAATTAGTTTCACAGAGGATTCCACTGAAATGTTTCAAGGACCTCTCTTTTATTTTTTCATATAAAGAAATACTTTAGAGAGTTAACAACTGTTTTGGATCAAATGAGGGGACTTGGCTGCCTCCAAATGGAAGACACTAAGTACTCTAGTGGATGTGATGCCAATCTATAATGAAAAATACTTGCACAATGCAGTGGGAAGATAAGATTGCTACATTTTCAAATAGAATGGATCAAACTAGGAGAGACTTCGAATCTCAGCCAGCTCTTTGCTCGTCATTCATGAGAAACAGACTGTGCCTTTAATAGCTCAAGAGCCAAGGCAACAGCTTGGCATTCTTTTTAAAGCATATATAAAAACTCCTGTTCTATACGGGTTGTTGAAAAGTACTATTTATTTTCTTAAAATAAACTTCTAACTGTAATAATGCTCCATTGCAAAGGAACTTATTTTAAACTGAAAAGTTGAACTACCATGAAGTTTTCATTTTTCTTCACCTAGTATGACTGTTATGTCAAGCTGCATCAATTGATTTAAAATCATAGCAATACTTAAGGCTAAAATCATCTGGATGAAATGGAAAGATGCGGCCTTTGTTCTTTACGTGCAAATATGTCACTATCACGATGATCCACAGTCTGCCACAACCCATTGTAACCATAGCAACTTAAACTATTCAGCTATGTTGCTTGGAAAGGGAAGGGAGATATTGCAAGAAAATGTTGTTTCTCTAATTAAAATTCATACAAGCATTATCACTTGCAGGTGGTCTTGGTACTGAAAATACAGATGATGTATTCTATCTCTCACTTAGCTTTTTCATGCTATTAAAGAAGTCTTTTTTCCATGGTACAGTTTTTCCTTTCAGAAGTTAGTGCATATCTCAGGTCTTTAAGGCCACCTTCCTGGTCAACAGGGAATAAGTGATGGAATATCTGAGAATATTCTTAGTATAAATTGTTTTACTGACATACCATCCCAGAACAGAAGCAGTTATAAACATGCAGAAAATCACTCCTTCTGAGAATCTGACACCAGTGCCTGGTTCTTATAAAATTCCACTGCTCCAGAAATTAATGCCAGTCTCAAAGCAAAGCACAGACAACTCTGTTGTTGATTTCCTAACTACTTTTCCTTAAATAATAAATAACAACAATACAGAAAATCTGTTCAGCTCAGAACATTTTCTTGCATGTCTGAAAGAGGATGTGGGAGCTTACATGTGGCAGTACCACACTGTGGAGTCAGCTTGAGCAACACCCTTGCCTCCAACCAAATAAAAAATCTCATAATTGCTTGTAATGCTAGCATTGCACAGTAGTATATTTTGGATAAATCAGGATTGTAACATAATAGGAAAGCCTTTGGAACTTGCCTTAAATATATGACTGATGCCAATCCCTACTTCAGTATTTCAGTAATTTGGTAAAGAATCAAGAGAAAGAGTTTGCAGAAAATGTAAGAATTACGACATCACTTTGACTCTGAAATTTGGTTCTGGTATTTATCAATCGTAGTGAAATCTCAGGAGTTTGATCAAGGATCCAAGATAATCTACTGTACATGACTGAAAAGCACAAATAATGGCTTTCATTTCACATAATACAAAAGCCTGAGCTAGATTCTTAATCAATGTAAATTAGCATGATTCGACTGACATGGATAGAAGTCAGCATGGATATGCTGTTATACATAAGCTGAGGACCTGCCCAGGCATTTATCCATTCTTTACCGTGCTTCTCTTTACCACACTCTTCTTTGATTATATGTTAATATTGTAACCTCTGTCTTCCTCATTTGTTTTAGAACTGTCAGTAAATAGCTGGACATTATTTGTAGAGCATCCTTGAATCTGCTTACAACCACTGATTTGCTGTGGTTTATAAATGAGAGCAGAGTCAAGCTCTGCATGAATTAAAGCTAGGTGAAGACAAGAGACAGGACTCAAACCTGGGGTCTTGGCACCTTGACTTTTTACTAAGTGATTCCTCTGCAGGATATCACACTCATGATGCTCAGGCCGGCTGAAGGAGAGTGCAGGACAAGTGCAAGGGAGGCTAATTGATCTAAAAGGTCTGAGATTACTTGGATAACATAGGCAAAAGCCTCAGAATATAGAGGAGCTAGAAGAGTAAGGCTGTGTGCTGTTGCTCCAGCATGATCTGGGAGGGTTAAATTGCCCAGATTCCAGGCAGATGTCTTGCCCTAGTCTGTTCACTCAGGCTTTGCACTGCAGCCTGCCTTTTGCCCTATTATGCTTTGCATTTTAGGGGCTGGAAAACAAGCTTACCAAAATACAAGGAAGAATACTTTGGAATGTACAGTGAGTTTAAGAGCTTTTGGAATTAGATCAGCTGTTGCTTTTGAACCTGCTCTGTGATATGATGAAATCTCCTAGGGAATTACTCAGGAAGCTTTGCTTTCATCTGTTTAATCTTCTGGAAAACCCTGATGATTACAAACAACAGTCATCCATTTGTCTTCATAATACCATGCTACGACTATAACATAACTGTGTTACTACAATTGTATGTCCTGGCAACACTTCAAATGTATTTTTTAAGTATTTTTTTTCTTGTAGACCATTCTTTCTAAACAATTCTGAGTGGATTAAGTAATTGTGTGATGCTTCATTAAGAAAGGAACCCAACTTTTCAGTAAAATGCTTACCAGATATTTTCTTTCTGAAATTTGGTTGAAATGTATTTTACTAGACAAGACAGAGGTGAGATAAAAAAGTTCTAACTGTAATTTGATTCACAAGCAGAGTGCATAGTTTTATTGCATTTAACAAAGAGAAGGATCTCTGATTCCACAGGGCATTTAAAATGTTCAGATTGTAATTATCTGTGAGACTATACAAAAGCAGGCTTGAGAGCCAAGCCACAGACTGAGAAGTTCAGGTAGGGAATTTAAGATGTTACAATTTCAGCTCTTGAGCCTGACTTTGTAATCCAAAATATACCACCCAGTAATATGATTGTCATGCCATTAGCTTCTTCATGAGATACAGAATTTTCTTTTGAAAGACATCCCACCTGGAGGTGAGGTAATACAGAATTTATCATGGTCTCAAGCTATCAAGGTGTCTGGCCACTGCTTACACCTTTAACTTCTGCTTGGAGTTATGTCTCCATGCACATTGCCCTAGTGTCAGTTGTCTGCACTGCTAAAAATGTGCAGCTTTAAATTGAGTTTGAATTTGTCTGGAAGTCTTCAGCTATTTGATGTATTTTCATATGGTTACACAGTTGGTGAAAACTCTAAACCCCATTTTATGCCCTCCACTAGGATTTCAGTGGGATCTAGCTCATCTTGCGCTAATTTTCTTCCTTATTCAGGGTCACCCTAAATTATATTTAGCTGTTCCACAGGCTGTCTGATTTGTGAGCCTAAGATCTCCGATAATTTTGCACTGAGATAATTCTATCTACTTCACATCTGCCCCACTTGAGGAGAGGCACCCGCTTGTCTAGTGATAGGACAAAGAATTCCAGATGATCTTCCTCCTCAGAGAAACGGCACAGCATAACAGACATTCCTCTAGAGCAGAGACCCCAGATGCACACAAGCAGCCTGAGTATGCAACTTTGTTCTCATTCTTCCACAACCGACTTATGTTGCTTTTAAGTATCTGTTGTATTTAAGCGAACTGCAAAGAAACATTTATATTTCCTACCTGAGAAGAGAAAAACGGCTCATGTTGCACATATACCTTCGTAGTTAATTACCTACTTCAGTCCAGGTTTGAATGCTTCTGATCCAAATCTAATCACTGGAAATTCTCTAATCTCGGCCACTATTTCTTCGCTCCTGAGCTTCTATTAAAAGAACTCACAATTCTATTGCTGTATCATTTATTAATATAAACTTATTCTATGGTTACTGATGCTTTTCTATAAAGGTTACTCTATGTTATTTATTAGTTAATTAAATAACAGACAAAGTTCCATTTCCTGTAGATCCAAATTATCCTCTAATCTCAGCTTCATGTTCTTTGGCTTCTAGACACACTATACTGTAAAACAAAAACAAATAGCAATGTAGGAGAGTTTACAGTCTCCATCTAGTTTTACATTATTTCTTTTGGTATTGGCTTCTGCAAAGCTGTGGACTAAACCCAAACCACTGAATAGCCCAGTAAGATATATTTCACTTGTAATGTGCCCTCTTATTTTAATGCTGCAGTCTCTGGGTGTTTCATACAGAATTATGCTGCTTTGCCTTCAGCAATTTCCTCCTCCATTCCCTCCATCCTTAATATAGAAGAAAATAAAAATTGCATAATTAGAATTAAATCTATATTCATAAATTGGTCTTAACCTTGGAAGAAGGAAACAGTAAGACAGGAGTTTTCATGTAGCATTTGGTTTACATTACTGTGATATACTGGAAAAAAGTTCACAGTAAAATAAAAATTATCTGAGGAGATATGGATAGAAAGACAAATTATTTTTTTCTAAAAGGAAAAGAAAACCAAGATCACTTGCATCAAAGGAGCAGTCATGGCTTTGGATGAGTCTGTTAAAACTAAACTGAACAGCACATTGGAGAATATGCGACGGAGAACAAGTTTGCACTGGAAAGACAATGGATTTGATGATCTAATAAGTCTCATACATCTGAATTGTATGATTTCACCCCCAATAGAACCTTGTTCTCTTTGTTCCTGCTGTTCAGCAGAGTGGTAATTATTGCTAACAATGTGTCTTCTTTCTGTGGTTTTCAATGTGAAAATTATGGTGCAAATTTATTCATCATTTTAAAATATGTTGAGCACTTCCACAGATGGGGTTTTGACAAGCGCAAATTTAGATGTTCTTTAAATGTTCAAACTTAGAACCCACTAGGGAGACACAGATAGACAACTCCTATTTTGCATTGGAGGTATGTGGGAAATACGTTACTCTGAAAACACCTAAGCAGACCGATTAGCAGCTTTCAGCAAATAGTTCTTCACAAGTCATTTTTTTTCTCCACTGGAGAAGGGTGTCCCTCAAAATGTTTCACACTTCAGTCTGGATGGGTATCCATGCTTCATTCAAATTAACAGTCAGATCCTGGAAAACTGGGATGTAGTTTCACAGTTACATTTTTCTTTTTGTCATTCTTTTCAGATCACAGTAAATATCTGAAGAACTAACTCTTTTTTTAAATTAAATGTTTCTGCTGTTCCTCTTACAACAGCATTAAACACGAAGGACATCGCAAAACACAATGCAAAAAAACCTCACTTTTAAGCTCCCATTCCTTTTAAATGCCATATGTGGACAACAACAACTGATAATGCATTCTACATTATACAATCCTGCATGTTCCTGACCGCCATCTATTGGCATACCCTCTAAAATATGCTTACAGGTGTACAGGTGGACACAGCTGTTTCACAGCTTGTGAGTTTCAGTTCCCACTGGATGATTTTTCTTTGGGTTACAAGGAAACACAGGCCATGCATGAGAGAAGAAAAGACATCGTCACATTCATGAAAGTGAAAAATAATACAATGTATAAAAATTTAACCACATTTTTTAGAACATTGGGCAAATATTTTAATTTATACAATTCTTCTATTGAGAGAGCTGGTCCAGAGATCCTTGCAGGCACACAGCAGGTCTCAGCTTTGACAAGAAGCGAACAAATAAGTTAAACACCTCTTCCTTGGATTCCAGATTACTATGGAGCAAATGTAACTGTTGAAGCTCTGAAGCAATGCAGGTGACTGAAAATTGTTGTGATGGGGGAAAAAAAATCCAAGCAAAAGCACATGCACTTAATGTGATAGAGAGAAAGATGAGGGTCAATCTACTTGTTTCCTTAAAGCTTTTACTTAGATTAGACTGGTGATGCTGTCATGTTACTGACTGCCGGGGCACCAATTATTCAGTTCTTAGAAGCTTAAGGTATATATGGACAGAAACTGAGGAATTACAATACCCTAAAATGTTGACTAACGGTTCGACTGTCATCTTGGGGTTTTGAGACCACTTGCAAAATTCTTATCCATTTGGAACATTAAGAATACGTGGTACTGGTTCAAGCTGTACTTTGCCTAGGAGCAAAACATTTTTCCAAGTCTGAGTTTGCTGCAAGTGAGGAAATTGTTTGCTGTTGCATATCACTAAGATAATGAAAATATAAGCACAAGGTTGTATTTGAGCATGTTTTTAAATATTCTTTTTAAAGGAATATAGTGGGCACTGACTGAAATGTAGTATTGTGATTCAAGAGAGAAAGTTTCTTTATGAGGTACTAACTGAAATTTAAGTGCTGGCTTTGGTTTTCTTTTTATTTTGCATTTTAGAAAGTTCTAAATTACAGAATGCTGGTCGCAAGCAATCTGTTTCCAGAAGCCTGAAGCACCTTTTCCATTCATCGAACAAGTTTGTGAAGACTCTGAAACGGTTTGTCATTCATTTTATCTCCCAAACATTCTCAGTTTTAGCTAGCAGCTGTTGCTTTTATGTAATAGTGAAAAGCACCTTAGAAATAAAAGATTCCAGTACCAGTGAAACAGCAATCAATCAGAATGAACCCGATAAAATCACATACATGTAAGCCTGGTGCAGCAGAAAGGAAAATAATGCTATTTGAATTGTAACAGAGTGAAATATTCTGTGCAAACACAAAGTGCAGTTACTGAGGTATTTTGGAAGTACTGACTCTGTTGCTGCTCAGTAATGAAACTACGGTATTGATTTCATTCCCAATATGAAATGCAGGGCTCAGATAACATGTTTTAATAGTCCACTGGCAACAGGCAACACATCCAGAATTCTCTAACATCTTTAGCTAGGTTTGCAACCCAGCGTGACCCAAACAACCCTCAGCCTTGATAATTTGTTTTAGCAAACAGAAGTTGCTTATGCTGGATTATTTCTTCTTTCATTGCCAGGAGTGTTCAGTTTTCTTTTTTTGCTTTGTATTTTGATAAGGGTTTGATTCTTTCAGAAGAGCTCTCCAGAGTCTTTAAGTTCCCTAAGGCACCTACTTAACGTATGTAACTAATTGCAAGGGTAAATACTGAAAGGAATGATCTCTATAAACAGTTTTGCAGATATGCTGGCCAAATTACACTCAATTACACTAATGTAAATCCATAATAACCCACCTGATTTCAATTGAGTTTCTTCAGATTTACTCTGAAGCAAACGAGGGCAGAACTAAGCCCATTTATAATAAAAAGTTTTGGTCAAATTTCTGATTTCTAAAGGGCATAAAGCCTCCATTGCTTACTGTTTACTCTGGCAAAATTCTTACTAGAACTATGTCAGTGGCTTGCACAGATTCATAATTTCTTAGATTCCTGTAGTCTTACATCATCTAAAATGATAAGCTTCCCAAGTATTTTTCAGAATTCACTGGCTGAAGTTGCATGATCTATGTAACACAGAAGTTAAGACCAGATGATTCAATTTGTCTTCTCAGAACTTACTATCAATGATTTTTTGACTAAACTTTGGCATGGATATGAACAGACATGAAAGGTGTTTGACAATGTTTCCTTTTTTCTTTAGGGGACTCTACTTATCTGTTATATTTTTTTACAAAGACAATTTATTAGTAACCAATGAAGATCAAATCCCAATTGTGGAAATTGATGACTCTCACAGTAGTTCAGTTATGCAGGATTTCCTGTGGTTCACAAAGGTAATGGGAGCCAAATTTCATATATTGCTTCTACAAATTTGTTGTTAACAGTGCACAGGCCTTAGCTTATCATTCTGAATATCTGAAATGACATTATTAAAAAGCTAAATGATGTTTTTACCTTTCACCCATGTTAAAATGTGATTTTCACAAACCATTTATATGGGTTAAATTCTGACTAGGTTGCTGACAGTGGCACAATTAGCTCTTTTAAATGTATAATCCTACATAAATGATTGCTACTTGGGTACATAAAGGCTTCATGAACACTTAGAGGAAGAGCCTAAAGAAATAACTAGAAGTTTTAGAGTTGGTATTATGGTTATGCCATCATTTAAGATATCTTCACACTTATTTTTTTATACCCCAAAGAACAGTAAATCAGTTTTACACAACAGTCCAAAAAGCAATTGAAATAGGTGCATGCTGTTTACAGAACTTCTGTGTCTGATTGAATACCTGTTTCATGTTTATCTAGGCAACTCATTGCCAGCCACAGAAACTCAAAATGAGCACTGTCTACAGATTTTTCCAAGTCCAAAATGCTTTTAGTTTCATTTCTGCTTTTGTAAATGCTGAGAACAAAAACTGATTGAACTGGATATATTTTTGCAGTTGTCTTGCATGTGGGATGATATCAGATGGCTAAGGCAGAATATGTCTATATCCGTGTCCTCATCAACAGCACTTCAAGCCAGGCAAAAGATGCTTTCAGCAGCAGCGCAGCTACAGGTTTGTTGCATTGCATATTTCTAGCTATTAGCTTAGTGAGATTCCGATCTCTAAGGGATAGTACTGCCAGCTGTCCTATGGTTCACCACTCCCCACTGGCCTGTTCTTTGGAGCAGCGTTATCATCTACAATGAAATGAGCTACTGAGCCTCTCTTGCCAGCTGGAAGGAAGGAGTTACATTAAAAGTAAAGAGTAGGAAACAGAAAGGAAAGAAACAATTGTGGCAGACAAAGAAACAAACAGATATGAACCAGTAAATAATGACCACAGATAAGCCTCTGGGTTTGCAGATTGGGAATTCAAGAGTTATAATCCTAATATTTGCTGCTCAAAAGCCTCTTAGAAGGCCTATTCATTATTAATATATTAATGAAGCATTTAAACTCTGGGTAAGATTTAGCACTCCCTTGTGCTATATGGGAACCTGCAGCAGTAGGTAGCTTCTGTCCCCGACAGCGAGGACAAGAAGACTGCTGAAGTTGCCAGAATAGCACTCTTTAGTCACCCATGGCTTACAGATTGATCAAGTACAGCTTCTAGGGCAGAACTACACTGTTTGACAAACAAGGTAGCTATGCTGTTGTGGATTGTCAGCGGGGAAATAAAAATGAATCTTTCATTAAGTTCATAATTGAGCCACCAAATTTTTTGACGTGAAATACACCTTTGTGCAGAAAGCCAGTCAGAGATCTATTTAGAACCTTAAAAACAGAGACCAGGAGAGATTAAGTGATGCCTAGATCTTGTGCTGACCCCTCAGCACAGAGGTAGGGACAACAGCACTACATGCACTATTCATATCATGATGTTAAGGCACAGCAGTGACTCTTAGGATGGTTCCATTCCAACCTATGCTGCAGACACAACCTGAGCGGTACTGAACTTCTGTGTCTTGGTCCACTGTTTGTTATGCAAATAGTAATTACACTTTCTCCAGCAGAAAATGTTGACATTTATTGTAAAGCTTTTGAAGAATGGGTTTAATGATAACATGAAATCTCTAGCTGGAAGGCAGACACTTTCAGAAAATATTTACTTTTGTGGGAAAATACATTTTCAAAAAGATGTGTGCATGCTTCTCACAGAAAAAGTATATCCAGTCCTCACCTTCTCCTACCTTTCACAGAATCACAGAATGGCATTGTTTGAATGAAGTCACCAAAGCTTCCCAGAAAAAAATCTATGGTACAGCCACAGAATTAATGGAGATCTTCATATTGCTTGCCTCATGTATTAGCCACACAGCCATCCCTCTTCTTATTGCCAGTCAATGCAATAAGCTGGCTTTTATAGCAGCTATGAGAGCCAGATACTTTGTGGCCATTATTAAGAAAATCCACGTGGGGTTTGTTTTACATCTTTTGGCAAAGCACGCTGTACAGGAGACTAGCCTTCCTGGGCAACCACCTGTCTTGACTGATTTCCCCAAAGTATCCCGAAATATATGGAATGCCAGTCTGCTGTACCTTTATTGGAGGACCACCTGTGTTAAGCAGCAGCTGCTTGTCAATCCTTTGAGCTGTCACTAGAGAAGGTTTTAACTATATCTGCTGAGTGTTCCCTCTGGTGTGGTTAGCTCAGCTTAGGTAGCACGTATTCCTTTGGTTAGCTTTGTTTCATTCCCTCTGTGCAGATTGCCTTTAACAGAGCGTTGCTAGTATGCATGGACTGCACTTCAGGATAACCAAGATTCCTAGTACATTGTGTTATTATTTGCTACCAGAGATGTTAAGAGCAGAGCTATAGCAAATGTGTCCATGTGGTATATTGCTCTGTTGAATTTCTGGCAAATTTATTGTCCTTAACGTTTGTTCTTTTAGCTTGGTCCCCTATGAACACAAGGATTGTCACTGATCTGCCAACCTCTAACGGTGTGTGGCCTAATGAGATCCACCAATGGAAGGATCTCAATAAATTTTATACGGTTGAATACATTTTATTGAGGCAGTTAATAGACTGACTCCACAGGAATTTAGGACAGAATGGAAAAGATCAGTGACAACACAACTGCTAAGGGACTAGATCAGTAGATTCAGAGACAACAGAGACAGTAATTTTGCTTGTTGTTACCACTAGACAACTAAAGCAAACAAAACGCAAGTGGCGGGGTGCCAAGCTAAGCATACACAAAACTTTTTTAGCATATGAATTAGTCACGTATTCATATTAGTAGGTACCCCCATTCTCTGTGCTGGAATGCCACACAGAATATAAACTCAGTGACAGTAAAGAAGTTTGTTTTCACCTAGGCACATTCATATATTACGGTGATTATTATGACAACTAGATGGGTAACACTTACCTGCAATGATTTGTCCCACCTGTGGACACATGGATTAATACAAAATGTGTACTCAGAACCCTCCATGTTTATCAGTTATGGAGGCTAACCTCAAAAGTTGGAACAGTTAAAAAAAGAAGAGGGGAGGTGCTATACAAACATCACCAGCATGCCCTGGCGAGGGACACATACAGCTGAAATAGCGAAGTTATGTGCCACATGAAGGGCAGTTGCTGTGCTGACTACCTAGACTTTATAAACAATTTAATAATACAGTTTATAAGTAAATATTGCCAGCTAAGTACAGATAAATAAATTCATGATAATCTATCCATTTACTATGTCATTAAGTTAATGTACAGCACTTCCCTGAACACACAATGTACCACATTGTGAATTGAAGTTTTCATTTTAAACTACCCCCATCCCTACCCAGCTTACTGTAGATCTCTTGCAAAGTCGCAAAGTAATGAGCATATTTTAAATGTTAGGCATTTTTCTTTAAGACATCTGGGAATCTCTTCAGTGGCTGGTCACTGGATTGAGTGTGTTTGCACCTATAAGCAGATGCCTTACTGTGTGAGGAAAGGGATTTTGACCAAAATATGTATTTTATGTGGAGGCTTTTAAAATTACTTTTCTTTAATCCTCACATATTTTCCTGGAGAGCTTTGCCCCAGTAGTTTGTTAGTTTCTGCTGGTTTTGTCTAGCACATTCTTGGTATCTGAAGTAAAAGGAAAAGGGTCCCCATCTCTTCAAATTCCTCTGTGTTCCTTCACAAACACACCGCACAGTTCAGCTCCAGAATTATTTACATTCAACACAGATATGAGTGCCTCTTGCTTTTGTTGCTGAAAATAATCTGAATAATTTTTAAATGAACAGAAAATTGAGATTATAGTTGATGACCCTAACAGCAAACATTTGAAGCATCCAATATGAATGATTTGGGGGCAGAAGAAGAATTTTGTATCATCTCTGACATTTGGTTATGGGGAGGTTAAGATAAGCACCTAGCTCTTCAGTAAGTTCAAATCAGAAGGGCTTCACTGATACCAAAGGAATCACCACTAGACCAAGACTGAGTGATTTTGAAAACTGTATCCTTTATCTTTACATGACTGGGCAAAAATAGGAGGTTCTGTCCAAATAAGTGAATTACTTTGAGGTGTTTCCTTTTACAATGGCATTGGGTCATAATAGTCTTTCTGATGTTCTCCATTAAATGTTGGACCAAACACTGCTGGGCCAAATACATCCATAATTCAACCCACAAACACAACGTAGGGAAAACCTTTCCTTTTGTCAATGAATGATATGACTGTAGGGCAAGGGTTTGAGAAACATTGTGTGTATAGTTTTTATTGAAGTCAATAGGACTGATGACAGTGAGCACAAAGTTAAGTTTCAAAAAATACCACTCTCCTGATAGGCAATAAATAACTTTCATTTTATAATTTGCTTGTTTTCTAGAATTTGCTGGGAACTCACAACTTGGGCAGAGTCTTTTATGAGCCGATCAAGGATCGACATGGCAATATGCTGATAGTTACTATAAGAGAAGTAGAGAGTCTTTATTCATTTTTTAATGGCAAATGGATGCAGGTATCCAAACTACAAAGCCAGAGGAAATCCCTTTCAACTCCAGAGGAGCCAACAGCATTAGACATCCTGCTTATAACAATCCAGGTAGCGCTTTGCTTCTCTTACTGTATGTTATTTGCTTTTGTAAAGCCTGTGCCAGAGCCCTGATTTTTGGAAGAGTCTTGTAGAATTTTAGGCCTTAATCCAGTGGCCAATAAAATTAATGGCAAGGCTCCCATTGAAAGCAAAGACTTATATTACTTCCAGTGAGTCTGGGATCAGATCCTTAATATGTAAAATATCCATGAGATTCTAAAGAAATTATTTCAAAGTCCTAGCAGAGAATAGTACAATTTCTATCAGTTTCGGGAAACCATGCTATAGAATTCTGTAGCAAGGGATATAACAACCTCTAAAATTCTCTGGGATGTTCTTAAGCACCTATACAGACACAATTTCTACACTCCATAAGATTTTTTCCATCCAACCTTGAACACTAAATCTAGGTTTAAAACTTTACTGTTATACTTAATAAACTTGTTCTGTGGGGTTCAGAGTTCCTTGGAGCCCGGTATAGTTGCTAAAGAATTCTTTACTGACCATAACCCTCCTTTAATTTCTGCATAACATGCCTCTAGACTTCACAATTTGAAAAATACCAAAGTAAGGATTGATCTTAGAAGTTACTTTGCATAGTCAGTTCAGTTAACATCTTTGAGAGCCATAGCTTTTCAGCCCTTCAAGAATCAGGTTATCTGTCAACTCATATCAAACACAGATAGTTCACATAAAGATTAATACATAAGATTAATGCGTGTTTTCTGTAGGTAACAGCAACCTATTTCTCACAAAATGTCAGCAGACAATCTCTCTAAAACTCAGTTGCATGGTTACCCAAAATACTGCAAGACAAATCATTGTCTTAGTCCCTTCTTTAGTAACCTCAACTAGATGACGACTGCTGTGGTTAATTTTTGAATTAGAGGCACTTTCTTGGGCAGAGACTGTACTTTTCGTACCGGAAACTGACAGGCAATCAAAATATACATTACCAGGTTTTAGAAACATTAAAAAATTTCCAAAAGACAATAAAACTTACCTGATCTATGTTAGACTTAATGCATTAAAATGTGTTAAAGGTGTAGAAAAATGTCAATCTGGGCAAAAGTTTTATATTAGGAAACCCAAAATACAGGCCTGATCAGATTTCCACAGAGATCCTAGTGGAAAAAATGTTCCCCTAATGGTTTACACATTCCTATCTAATGCCCACCCTTTCTTGTATTACTTGTTTAATCATCGAATGGGTATTTTGTCCGTGAAGTGCTTGTGAAAATGAGGGTCTAATTGCATTGGTCAGAGCCAAGCATAGCACTGGCAGATAATTTGATGGTTCCAAGAGTAAAGGCATAAGGCCAGGTGTCTTAATCCTCACCCATTTCAGAAGCACACATTTCTCAGGATGGCAGCAGCCATCATTTTTAGGGTAGTTTTGGAGGACTGCTATACATAGCCTTAAAAACGTCTCCTGGCTTCAGCAAATACACCATCATTATTAATGCCTTCTAAGCTCTATTTGTTGATAAAGGTATTTGCTTAGAATACACAGCCATTAATAAAACTTTGCAAAACAGCACTTGGTGACAGCACTGGTGTATGCAGCCCCGATGATGGCTTTTTCCCAATGCTGCCCTGCTCCATCTGTGTAGCTACGCACCAGACGTGAACCAGGGAACTGCTCTGGCAGAAAAATGACTGCTCCTATTCCTGAGTTGTTTTTCAGCTGAATCAGTTCCCTGACCCAGCTCACTGCTGAAATGCTCGGACAGGAGTGCAGAGGTGGGTGTTATTTAAGCTACTTTAAATACTACAGTTGTAGAAGATTGAAACCTCAGGGTTTTAGAGCCAATTCCTGCATGATGTGGAAAGCATAGAGAACCTGTGTATAGCTTTAAATAAGAAGTTGTCCAAGTGCATCCAAACTACCAGAGATTATTTATATGCTTAAGCATGTGCTTAAATGCTTTGCGAATTGGGAACACTCTTGAAACAAAAAGACGGCTGTAAAAACATTTGTTGCTTTTTGATCCCAAACTCTTCCGCTTATGTGGAAAAAAAATGAGATTTTAATGTAGGACTGTTTCTCTTAAAACAGGACATACTTTCCTATCACAAACGAAGTCAGCAACGCCTCCCTCCTGGCTTGTATCTGGGTTACCTTAAACTCTGCAGTTCTGTGGATCAAATCAAAGTGCTTGTGTTGCAGAAGTTGCCTAATGTCCTGTGTCATGTCAAAATCCGAGACAACAGCAATGTCTCCAAGTAAGTGAATATATACATATCTACTCACACATATATAGAGAGAGTGTTTACATTTGAAACAACTGATCAAGTTTAAATGCGAAGGCAATTTTGCCATTGCAGAATTGTACCTGCCAGCAAAGTTTGGCTCAGGTGTGTACCATCCCAGAGATCAGTGCTGCACTAAACAGGTGCACCTCTGTGTTTCCAGCAGTCTGAAGGCCTATCCAGAACACATTCATATGAGCCCATTGGTTTCTAAGGATAGTAGTCTGTGGTCACCCAAATTCTGCACAGTGGTAATGATCTTCCACATATCTGTTAGGAAGATCATAGTCCACAGCCCTGACTCAGCCTTCAGTGAATTCAGTGTCACCCTTTCTATTGATTTTCACTGACCATGGGGTGCTGGTGATTTTTCTGTGTGTTCTCCTGTGTAATATCTGGTTTCTCACTCTAATCCACAGATGGATTACATACAGCAATTGAAAACACATATTCAGACAAATGCTATCAGCCATTGAACTGCTGTGCTCTGGGAAATCCATTTCCCCCTTTGTCATTGCTTCCCTTATCTATCGGGCAAGTGCACTTATTTGCACTTCCTAGTCCTTGCCTAGTGGGCAATACATTTTATTGCCTTTTTTCTGGAGTTTATAATCTCATGTCATTTCAGCAACCAGCTGATAATTTTGCATGAGGAAAGAGGAACTGGATATCTACATGGATAACAAGGATATCCGGAATGTAGTAGTTAATACTAACAAAATTTTGGAAGGAATATGAAGCCTAATGCTTCAGGGTTTATAACAATCTCTGACTCTTGAAGTTTAAGATCAGATCCTTATTTAGGAGCAAATTGTACCACATCTATTACTCATCTTGTAGTGGGGTTTCCTGTACTTTTTTTTTCTTGAATGTTTGGTGCTGGCTGCTTTTCAAGACTGAATACTGGGCAGGGTGAATTAAGGATTTGATCCAGAAAGATGATTCCCATGTATATCAGGTCTAGAATGGATATATGTTGAGCAAACCTGGAAGTTCTTTGGCTCCAGTGAGTGCAAAAGAGTCTGTCACAGAAATTACACTTCCTGCTGTTGTCACTGTTGTCATTTTCAATGCATGCTTTTTTAAATATTGTGGTAGATAGGGAATGAAGTATGTGGGGGGAAAAAAAAAAAACAAGCAAACCCTGGAGTGAGAAGCCTTAGTGAAGTATTTCAAAGGCAGTTGGACTTTCAGAGGTTTGCAAGGAATGTTTAGCCTGATGGACATGTGCTAGAAAAATTAAACTTTTCAAAGTAAGATTTTTTACCACAAACAATCAGGATTGCACAAGTTTAGAATGTTTTGCTATATGAGGATTAAACTATCAACAGATCCCAAATGCACATACACTGAATTCCTGCTTGTGCACTGAACTTTTGTTATATTTCTAATTTTAACTTGACTCAACATACAGAGATGAGTGGGAATGGATCCAAACACTTTCTGGCTCAGAATCTGTGGAAAGTATGGATCATACTTCAGACTGCCCTACTCAATTGTTCTTGTATGAGCTCCAGATGGCAGTGAAAGCTCTCCTTAAACAGATCAATCTACCTCTGCATCAGGTATTTTCCTCTGTGGTATTTATCGCCTTTTTAAACACTGATTCTTAAGAACACAACAAAAAGCTACAAACTGTGTAACTTGCAAGTAGGGATTAAATGTTACGGTCATAAGAAAAGCAAATCAGAGAAGTTTTGTAGTCATTTATTCTAAGGGGGGGGGACACATCTACAATAAAACAGTTATTTTCCTGGATATTTGAACATACAAGGATAAGAGACGAATTTTCAATTAGCTCCTATTTTTGCGTCTACTAGGATATTTGTGCAACTTCAGGCAGGTGCAAATAAGCACTTTTGCACAAAATTAATAGTCGCAAGCACCTTTACCCATCTGGCAAGGAAAAGTAGGTATTTTTCCAGGCAAGCAGGGCAACTTACTGCGTAATAGTGAGGGTGTATGAAAGGCCTGCTGAAGACACAGTGTTTTGCTATTCTTTTACACACAGATAAACGTTGCACTTCTAAAACACATAGTTCCAGACCTCCAGATTGCTGTGGGTGAGGAGAGGTATCTGGCTTCTGGCTTTACATTTAGGTACAAGAAATGCGTATATGAATAAATAAAGAAGTCAGGGAGGATAATCTATGATGTGAAAGATCCATGAAAAAATAAGCTAAGGAGTTTGTTTCTTGTTTACATGAATTCCATTTTATTTTGGTCTACAAGGGTAAAGAGGGCTTAAAGTAGAAGTAAATCATCTTTATATTCACTTGAACGTCTGTTTGTGCAGCTAGAAAGATGTGGCCTTAAAATAAATGAATCTGGTTCTACACTTCTTGATTTTGAAAGGTTTAGGCTTTGCTTTTAAAAAGGAATCCATCAGTGCTGCACCTTCTAGCCTGGGAAGAGCCAAGTAAGACTCAAGTAAATCCAAAATTAAGACAGATGGTGTGCTGCCTTGTGGTCAGTCACTCTAATTCAATAGGGTCTCTATGCTAGTGTATTTTCTTGGAGGTTATAGCTTTTGTGCATCTTTTTCTTTTTTTTTTTTTTTTTTTTGAGCTAGGGACTAAAATATTTAAATTGCTGTGCAGTATGTTCCTTGGGCTGCAGTTCAGCCAAGCATTTAAGCTCACCTATTGTGCGGATAGACATAAACATAACCTTGCAGTTAAAGACAGTTGTAAATGTTTTGATGACTCAGGACCAAACTTCTATGTTAATGAATTGAATTTTTAATTCCAAAGAAATATTTATGTATTTTTATTATTCGTGTGGTAAACAGAATCACGGACAGTGGCACTGGTGCATACCCAGGGTAAAATGCAGTGCCGCACACAGCAGCTCTATAGCAGCCTCAGGCCAGCTCCTGTGTGTGCCATTTTCTCTTGCTGCAGCACTTGTTAAATCTTTTCGGTGCTGTGTTGAGGGAGAGCTGCATATTTCTCTTAACCAACCCTAAATTGAATCTTAAAGGTTTTTAATTGAATCCATTTTCATGTTTTCACATAATTATGCAATCATAATCTTGAAAAGCACATGGCATGTGATCATTTTCTGCCTAATAAGAAACATAAATGTTGTTTTCAGGGGGGTTGTGCCTGTGTGTGTTGTTTTAATGTGGAACATTGCAGCTTTAAATCTTTATTTTATGTAGTGACATGAACCCACATTTAGCCCCCCCCCCCAAATATTTATGTTTTATAAAAATTCCAAGCTTGATGTTGTGCAAATTTTCTTTAATGTTTTATATCATTTGGGGTGTTGTTTATATAAGTGCCATGTTGTAATTCTCTCCTATTTCTTCCCCCGCGCGTGTCCCTCTACAGGCTAAGCACTTCCGTCTGTATACACAGGAGGTGTTGGAACTGGGTCACAATGTCTCCTTTCTTCTCCTGCTCCCCGCCTCAGACGACGTCTGCACTGCCCCAGGACAGAATAATCCTTACACCCCACACTCAGGATTTCTTAACCTCCCTCTTCAGATGTTTGAACTTGGTATAGTAGCTTGCTTCACCTAGAAATATTAACCCAGTCTCCTTATAATAAAATCACAAAGTTGTATCTGTTTTCCCCCTTGTCCCAGTGGAGAGTCAATAAATCACATGATGGCTTTGGCAACAACACTACCTATAACTGTGTACAAGTTATAGAGGGAGCAGAGCGGTTAAAGCATATACTGTAGCAATCGTTATTGAAATGCAAAGCATAGAGCAAAGCCCACAGTTATCCAGTATGTGTCTATAAGCTTATTTGGAAGACGATGTTCTTTAAAAAACAGAACCAAAAAATTACACACAACATAGCAAGGCTGGAGTGTGAAAGACGATGCAAATAAAAAAAAAAAAAATCCCTCTAAATTGTCACAAGAATAATCACCAGTTTTGTAGGGGAGAATTTTTGCAGTTCCTGACTGCAGACAGTCCTGCTCAAGATTTGACTCCCTCACAACGTTGTGAAAGGTCTGAGTGGAGTTTCCCACATGAAGGTCATCTTTTTCCTTCTAATTCACAGAAAAGTGCAGGAAAAGCCTTTTATTGTGAAAAATGCCAAAGCACTGGACTTTAATCTATTTCTTTAGGGAGCAAACCTGTGCTGTAGCAGATTCAGCCCTCTTGTTCCACTGCATTGCTGACTGGGTAAGAATTCCCCAAAACAGAGTTTTCCAGCTGTCTTACAGAAAGCATAAGATGCTTTAGCTTCAAGGTCCTCTATTTCTCATTTCTTCTTTGGTCCACAAAGAGAAAGGTTCCACATAAAAGCAGCTCATAAAGACTTAACAGTTCTTTTTAGAAAGTGTATTGTAAGTATGGAGACTGCTGAGCTTTACACATTAGCCTGCTCTGTTTCCTTCTGGCCTGTAAAACTGGATATCTTTCTTTCCTCTGCCTTGGAGAAGAGAGAAAGATATGAGCCAAAACTGATGGTCAGTACACAAGAAGCGACTACAGAATAGGTCTCTAGCAGTAACTGTGTCCTCAGTGGTATCTCTCGCAGGTGATTATGCGACACCGTTACCAGCACCATCCTATCTCCTATATATATCATTGCTAAGTGCCATTAGAGTCACTAATGTAGGAGCTGGTAGATGTATTAGATATATTAGATGTTGATGGAGGGTCTTACTGAGACTACATTTCCGCAGTCACAATAGATCAATGACCTACCATCATCCAGCAACACAAACTTCATTTGGATCAGGCAGGAATATGCAATTGTGTTTATGCCACATCAGCCAGAGCACAGAAACTGGTGCCAGTGACAACTTTAGGTTTTTATGCCGGTTGCAGGAGGACAGATAACAGCTGAGCTGCCATAAAATTATGAGTGGCACAGACAGACAATAAATGAGCCGGTGTAGTCTGCAAAGGAAAAGTTAGCCCTTCAAGAGAAAACTAACATAATTGAACTAGAAGAGTTAGTTCAGTGCTTCGGGTCATATGGCCATGGCTATAGTGCCCTAAAGCCTGACTTACTGGCTTCTTGACACACAACCCTGAAGTCTACAGTTAGACTCTGTGTATCGAGCATAAGATTTCTCCATATGAGAGGCGACTGCGGTATTCACTGTGCAAATTAACACATGAAGCATATGTGAAATTAATCTCTGCACTAGTGGTTTTGCAGGTTATGTGGCACACAGGCCGGGGGCAGGAGTCATTCTCACTTGTGCAACATAGATTGCAATGGGCTGACAAAGCAATAGACACTGAACAGGATGATGTGGTGCAGATAAACATGCAACAGAGTAATCGCTCAAAAGGCATTCTGGGTGCAGACCTCTGTTTAGCAAAGTTGCTGCATTGGGAAAGCAGTTCAAGGTGGACAAAACAGTATGGAAAGCTGAATTTTACTTTTGAGTATTTTTTTTAAGTAAGCAAGCATCTGGCCAAAGGCAGATGACATTTCTATATGACTTATTATATATGTATCCCTGATGTTCTATAAAGTGACTGTGATTCACATCTCAAATATTAGAAGCTTCCATTCCCCATTAGCTGGTGGCTACCAACTATATAATTGCATAACCACAAAAGACTATGTTGAAGTAACATTTGTTAAAGTAACATTAAAGGGTCTGACTTAAAACCACAAAGGCTAGAAACTTCAGCACTGAAGCTGAAACCGCGGCTGTAATTCACTCAAGAGTCCACCACATATGGCATATATACTGTAAGACCACACACTATTCAGACTAGATCCCTGCAATATCTAGGCATCATTGGGAAACCAGAAGGTAGAATTCTTCCTTTCACTCTTTTTTGTGGCATTTCTGTGTTCAGATTAGGCCTTTATTGTTACGCTAATGATGTTTCTGTGATTGGATTTCTTACTTTGAGTAATTCTTCTCAGTTATTCTTATCATGGTGTTTTCAAGGGATAAGTAGATACGTGACACTTTTCGTTTCTGTTTTAATATTTATGATAAGAATAATATATGCAATTTACACTGAGACACCCTGAAAAATATCATGCCACAATCCAGAAAGGTAGCCGTAGTAAGGCAACTGGCACTCGCTGCTATAACAAGATCATGCTGTATGCTTGCATTTATTGAAGCACCAATGAATGGGGAAGTATTTCTGAAACCTGTTCTCCCTCAGCAAGTTTTGGTATGTCTGTACTACAGTCTGCAGAGGTAACTGGTAAACTTTGCCTGAGCAATTGCAGGTTCTGGAAGAAGGCAGCTTTAGGAGGCCAGATAAATAAACATTTGTGAAGCTCCATGGCGCTGCAGTGTCCCTGTCGCTGTTATCTAGTTACCTCTTTCACAGGTAGCTCACTTTGGTGCTACTCTGAAGTCAAATTGCACAAAGCAAGAGGTCATTTCTGAACTTTGTGTTACCGTTCTGCATGAGAGCTCAGAGGGTGATGTGTGATAACACCGAAGAGTTCTAATTGTTTCACACAAACTGTGATACCACTGAAATGCTTTTACTGCTAAGTCATTTACATTTAACTTACTGATTTGTTAGCCTAGCCCAAAAGAAAGTTATCATTCCTCAAAATGAAACTTTCCTTCTGAAACACTCAATTAAAAAAATAAAAGATGAGTTCTGTTTTACAGTCATGTCACTACTTTCTTGATAAAAGAAGTGATGAGCTATAAAAGCCTCAGAAACAGCCTTTCTGATTAAAGCTATCAAGGGCAAAATAGCCTCTGGAGCTGCATACTAAGGACCTGATTATCCCTTCACTTAGATATAAATTAGAAATGACGCTTTTGAAATCAGTGAAGTTACAGAGTAAATCCAGTGTAAAGGAGAGGAGAATTAGAGCCTGTGTTATTTATTTCTAGCTTAAAGTAACCCATCCAGAGAGTTAGTAATTGTATTTAATAAAATTTGTGTTCTGAAACCTAAGGATTTCATATTTCATAACCAGAATATAACAGTGTTTCCTTTGCACTTGGTCTTTTCACAGTTCATTTTTGCTGTTACAAGGAAAAATTTATAAGCCTGTATTGCCGCCTTTCTGCTGTCATAGAGCTGGACTCTCTGAAAACCCAGCAATCCCTAAGGGAAGCAATTTCAGACAGTGAAGTCGCTGCAGCCAAACAAAGACACCAGCAAGTTATAGACTACATACAGGTAATAGTCTGTTTCTGACTATTCCAAGGAGATTTTAAGGTGGCTTTCTTAAAAATTGCATAGGGCTGTAATTTGAAATCTAAATGGAGAATTATTCACAGACATCATAAAAAGAGCAGTTGTATCAAAAGTGCAATTCTGTTTTTATGAAATTCAAACCCAGAACATGATTTCCTTAGTTGTTGCTTTTATACAAGGATTTTTATGGGTAAAATCAAATGACAGTTATACTAGACTGTTATAAAGAAATGTGTCAGTCTGCTTGTAAAACTCACTCCCATCTAATGTGAGGTAAGTTGGTACCATGCTTGGGCATTCGTTTGTGTAATAGTTTTTCTCTGTCTTTGTGAACTGAGGACATTTTTCACTATGATAAATTGCCAATTAAAAAAAAAATAAAATGAAAATTCAGACTAGGTTGTGGAGACAATATTCATCAACAATATCACAGTGAAGAAAGCAGCTCCGCATTTAAGATGGCAGGCTAGCCCTAAAAGTATCTGTAAGTCTGTCCAGCACCATGCAGTAAAACTGCTTCAGTCCCCCAATGAAGAAGGATCACAAGTGTTATCACACTTGTCTATCTTGCTTATTTTCTGTCTCTCACACTGATTTTCCTATACTATTCCCAGATCAGGACTTTATCTACTCAGCTTAGAGATCTTCAAACTACACCCCACTGTGCAGCATAGCAAGGCCTGCCCTTTTGCAAACCATTTGGGCAATTGGTTATTCATAGATAAAACTCATGACCTTTGCAGAGTGCCTCTATGGACATGGTTGATCTGTCTTTCTCCAAGTGAGGTGCAGATAAGTTTACAGCTCTATATTCTTAATATTTAAGCGACCTTCTGTTGGAATAGGGGCCAAGACAACCTTTATCCCATTGATAATATGTTTGGCCCTCCATCATTATGAACAAGATGATAATATTTCTGTTCCTCTTTGCTCTGAATTCAGATTCCCTTTTGCCTTGTCCACTTCGGAGTTTTTGGCAACCTGCAGGGCAGCAGAGAGGAATGTTCCATTGTACTTTCACCAATCAGTCATCTCCTTCCTTCTCATCTTCCCCTTCTCACGCTCAGAAAATCTAGCTTTTTCCCAGCATGCAGGAGCATTTGGAAAATTTTTATCCTTCACATCAAAAATAAGTATATGTATATTAATATGCATGCACAGTATAGACAGTTCTGTGTTCCTCTTCTCCAAAGTGTTTGAGTCACATATATACGCTGGGAAAATATGGGAGAGCATTTTATACTTCAGTGTTTTGTGCTGAATTATTGTGACAGTGTATTAGCCTTGTTAGGTTTCCTCTCAAATGAAAACCAGCTGTATTCCACCTATTGGCAAAAATATCTCAGCCCACCACATACCGCAATCTTCAGTGGTGACCACAAAACCGCAAGAGCATTTGTGTGATCCTAGATCTAAGACAGTGTTGAAGTCACTACACAAACCAAACATTGTAAAGAGCAAGGGAGTCTATATAAATGCAGTTCTGAAAAGGAGTCAGAGGGCAACTGAAAAGTAAAAATAAAAAAAAAAACAACCCGGCAGATAAGGTACTTGGAGTCTTTACCAGAACATTACACAGCAAGAAAAGAAATCTACAGACACTGAAACTCTGAAACTAAAACTGAAGCTGTAATTTATATAGCATAATGCTTCAAACGTTCCTAAATTGTAAAAGAACCACAGTTCATTAAAATGACTGGTCCATTATCCCAGGAGACACTGCAGAATGGCATCACAGAGAAAAACGACAGGATTTGCATTTTACTAAACTGCATGCAGTATGATTTTTGTTTGGTGTTGAGGAAGGATCACAGAAAGGAAATATAAATTCTCTAAAATCAAATAGGTGAGACGTTTGCTAACTGGCATTCTCTTCATGGAGCTACACTGAAGTCCTGAAATGATGTAGGATTATGAATTAATCTCTCAACCATTTACTATTCTTATCAGTGTATATTCTTAGCTCAAATTAACTCAGTGGCAAGGCTTGCACTGACATCATTGGAGTCGGGATTTCACCTTTACATAAAAATGGCCATACTAGGTCAAAACAAAATTCATGTACCCAGCTATCCTGTCTCTAACATGGCTCATCAAGAACTACCCTAGCTAATCTGGCAACTGCAGTATCCTGTTGTAATAAATTTCACACTTTGAATGTGCATTTTGTGAAGAAGTATCTCTAGCTAAGAGTATTTGCTGGAGAACTCATTTTAGAATGTATCAGTCTGCAGTCTCCTTTTCACTGGTCCCTCTGTTGCTTCCCTATTTAATACTACTCAGTTCACAAAGTACCACCCACTTTCATCTATCCATTTACTGACCCAGGGCTCTCATTCTGCATTCTTGCAGAATGTAGCTTGTGTAACTGCAGTTTCCCTTAAACACTGCAATATTAATATGAAGGCTCACTTCTTTAAATGAAGAGTCTTCTGTAGGAAAAGAAGTACAAGGGAAGCTCTAGAAAGGATATTGCAGCGGAAGGATATTATACTCACAGCTACTGTCATTTGCTGGTTGCAGCAACATTTGCTCAGTCATCAAAGGTCTTGAATTGCTTGAAGATATTAAAAGTGTTCCATTATCAAAAGACTCTCAAGGCCCACATTAAACAGCATCTTTCCTCTCTGCATAGATACTTAAAGCTATACCCTGCTATTGATTTAGGCACTTGTCTCTTATTGCCATCAACAGGCATGTGTTAGAACTGTCTTAGTGTAGATTTATACTAGTAAAATGCATGCAGACCAAAATTATGATAAGGGAAAAAACCTGCAGTTTGGCTCATAGCTGTGCTTCAACCCTCCATTTGTATATACTCTTCCACATGTATGTATATTCTTCTTCAGTTAAAAACTAGGCTTGATCTGAGCACTCTGCTTTTGAACATAATCCTGGGTTTGCAAGGATGCTCAAGAAGTCTTGCTTTCATTCCAGTACAGAATGAAACCACTTTCAAGTGTGCTACAAAATTGACAATTTTCTTATTCCATCAAAAGACAATTTTCATCTTCTTTCCATATCAGAGTTTAGGCCTGGATTCACCCCTAACTACAGGTTCTTAACTGAGGCACCTAATCTGAGAATCTGGTGGCCCCAAGCAGCCTCTGCAGTGGTGGAGGAGAATAAGCACCTAACCAAAGGCAATTCAGACCACCTAAATCTGAAGTGTCCTGTCAGGGGATCCTGCTTCTCTCTGTTGGCAGTGACTACACACCTACTTGGGCACTTGAAGAAAATACACACTTCGGTAAAATTAATGCACGGACTTAACTGTACCTTTTCACCATTTTTTTCTGTACAGCAAATTGATGAGATCTGGAGAGAAATGAGATGGATCACAGAAGCACTGCAGTATGCAAGATACAAGCAGCCAGCAGCTGGCCTACCCATAAAGAAGCTCGTCGATCTTTCAGAAGAACACTCACAAAAGAAAATCAGTTCAACCTCTTCACACCTAGATTGTCTTCCTTCACCTCCCCCTTCACCTGAGGCTAGAATCCAGAGGAGAAAAGCTGTGAGTGGTAAGAGAATTTTTCTTTGTTCATCAAGCAAAATCTTTGAGCTCACTTTTAATTGTAACAGTTCTTATATATCTTTTTATAACAGTACATTTTTTCCCATACCTTCCAAGGTAATCTAAGAATCATTTTGCCAATTATTTGCCACTCAATACGCTGAGATTCTTCTACAATCTTTACAATAATTTTTTAGTTTCAACTACTCAGAATAATCACTCATCATCAGCCAACTTTGTCACCTCACTGTCCCAGATCATTTAATGAACAGGTTGGAAGAGACAAGTGCTATCACTGACTCCTCCATGATGTCCAGAATTAGTAAAATCCATCCACAGTGAAAGCTGACTACTTCATTTGTTATCTACACCAACAATCTACTATTAATATATGGAGGGAACGTTCCCTTTATCTCAATTACAGCTTCGTTTCTTCAGATCCTGTGGTAAAGAACCTTGTCAAAAGCTCTTCAGAAATCTAAGGATGCCTGTGTATTAATTGTGCACGTGTTCAGAGTTGTATTAGACTGGTGAGAAATTAAATACTAAGCAAAAGCTATTGACCCTTTCTCATCACTCATGTATCTATCTATTCTTCACCACAGTTTCCAGTAAGTTGTCCAGCATCTAAGTCAGATTTTTCCATAGTCTCCATTTGTCACCTGTTTCTCTGATATTACAGCCATTTTCTTTCCATGCTTTGACTGTTCCTCTGCTTTGCAGCAATTCTCTTATGCTCCTCTTGCTTTGTTTTGATAGAGCAAATTTTAGTGCCAATAGTCCAGTGTGATTTAACAGTCGTTTTCACATACCTCAGTGTTCTCAGTGTTATAGACAAGCACTTTAAAACACAGAATTACACAAGTAAGTACCCACCTCATTGACCATTATTGCTTCTCTGAACAGCTGGAAAATTAAACTGATGAAAGCAACAGATCACAGCAAATACAGATGAAGCAAATTAAACAGTAACACCTAATTTACTAACAGAATAAGGACTTTAGAGAAAAATGTAAACCATCATTCTGCTGAGCTGTTTTTAAGCAACGAGTAAATGAAACAGTAGAAACAAAAGCAACAGATGCTGTGTCAAACAACTGTCACGACCATTTTGGTAATAATAATTTGTTTTTTCAAACTGGCAGTTTTATACAGTTAAGAAAAATGAATAAATCTACTCTGATTAGATTAGGTTAAAAGAAAAGAAACCCAAAGATGATGGTGCTTTGATTCGCTCCATTACACAGTGGCATTTTTTCTCAGCATCTCTCCCTAAGCTAATTTTTTCCCTATATTACAGTCCATGAAGGCAGAATAATCCTTAGCTCTGGCACCATGTAACCTAGAGCATTATCTTGTCCTGCATGGGCTTGATTCATTATTGCTGTGCTATGTGGTAATTTACACTAGGTCAAAGTGAACAGTCAGCACTGCATAAAATCTGCATTTTTTTCCTTGCATCTAATACAAACTACCCAGGGCAGTGTAGCATCAATCCATTCTATCACAGATGCCACTATTTATTATGTTATTGATCCTTCTGTAGCCAAAAGACAGCAGTGATTTCAGTGCCAGTGTGAGTTTTGGGCAACAAATTCACTTTTGAATTAAGTGTGTCTGCTTTGTATTTGAACACACATAATGCACCTGATGGTTCATCTACCTCCATGTCTTGCCTCAAGCCTCTTACACACACATACAGTTACACCTTACTCACAGAGATATAAATCTGGAGTAACTCAACTGCCATCTTTAGTAGAAGCAGAACCTGGATTAGAGTTTCCCTCTCTCCCAAATCTCCACCTCTATGAAATTTGGTGACAAGATAAAAGAAAACAGATCTTTTCAGAACTTAGTCCCAATTAAAATTCAAATTGTTCCCTATACTTAATATAATAAATGAATCCTTTTTGGTTTTCCTAATTCTACCACCACCTCTCTAACACATCTGTAAATCCACCCTGACTACTGTCTTTGCTGTCACCTAGGCCCATGGACAATTCCACAGAGGAAACACACATACATTTTCAGTACTGTAGATTTGATTCTAAATTAAGAAAAAAAATGCATAACTGACAGTTAAGTGATTTCTCCCCCGTGCTTGTCTTCTTAGTGTTAATCAGTTCTCTTTGCAGATTCCCAGCCCTGCTCAGATGAAGAAGGCTGCTCTGAAGTATTCCTTCCAACAGACAGTGACTATGACTCCAGTGATGCATTAAGCCCCAGAGAATTAGACCTGATTTACTCCTCCTCACATGACATATCCCAGCAGGCAGGCAGTGGCCTCGGTGGCAGTGCACCTGACGTTCTCCAAGTCCATGACATGAAGCCTTGCCTAACATTGAAAGAAGGCCTGACAGAGCGTAGTGCCTTTGATACTAATGCTGAATGTTGCACAGAGTATATGAGCAATCTAACAATGTCGGGGCTTACATCGAAAAGCATGGACAAGTCCTCTAGTTCCAAGCAGCCACTGAGCTTTTTAGGAAAAAAAAAGCTAGGGAAACATCAACATTACAGCTACTTCAGCCGGCATCATCGTTGGCTGCGTGTACACAGTGAGACACAGTCTGGCTCTCTGTCTGAAGGCGTGTATACTCAGCATCTCATGAGATCTTCAGATTTGTCTCAGGAACCTACCTCCAGTGAGCAGTTAAAGATTCCCATCGATGGGTCTCGGAGCACTTTCTTACCTCACGCATCCAGCCTTCCAGAAGATGGGAAAGGCAAATATGAGGAATCAAGGCAGAATGTCCATAGGATACTTGTGGAGCCTTATAAAACAACATTTCTGGGTGAAGAGGGCAAGTCCTGGGCAACAAGCACACAATCTGTAGAACATAGGGATGTGCACAATGCTATGCAACAGATAATGGGTCCAGATGACCAGGCGGGCTCTGCTGTCTCAGAAGTCTTCAGCAGCACACTTTAACCCCAGACTTCTGCATTGCTTCCCATCACTCCACAATGAGATAGTGAGCATTATGCATCCAGGGCCATACTTTCAAAACTACTTGTAAAAATCCAGCTCCTGAAATGGCATCTTGTGCCACTCAAAAGAATGCTAATCTTTTGACTTCATCACCAGATTTCTGGTCTTACAGGGGTATCTGTCATCATGCAAGCATTATTATTGGCATCTGCAGTTTTGCAGGTAGAGTCATCATGGTCACCACATAACAGAACAATCTGCGGCTGCAAATCTAGTAATCAGGTTTTTGCAGTTCTCTTGATTTCCTTGTATCTCTGAGCATGCAAAATTTTAAGCATGACTGGGTCTGCCTGCAAGTTAGCAGAAACTCCAACATCCTTGGTGTCCTCCTGTTAGGACTGTGTCCTGAACTTCTATTAACCTGTTTTCCACCATTTCCTATAAATTTTTCTACTTCTCAGCCTTCTTGAATGGATTTAGGTTGCATGTAACTAAAGTGCTAACTGGTCTAGCAACACGGTTAACCCAGAGTCTCTGACCACTTACAGAGAAATGAAAATTCTTTCAATGTCTAGAAAATGCAGTCAACACCATCTCTGAATGCTGTCAGAGCCGGACGTAATTATCACAATGGTTTTTTTTCAGGAGCTTAGATTTCAAGTTATGTAAGTATCGAGTTATTTTAAAAGCTTAGGAGGTGAACCTTTGAGGCCAAGAGCAGGCAGAATGAGGCCAAGTTCTGAAGGAATAATATGAAGGGTCTAAGTGAGATTGAAGCAAAGCTTGGTCTTTTCTTCTGCCCACCACACAAGAGTGCATTTCTTTATGATGGAGGCACTCCCAAACACCCATTAGAAAGAAATGCCCCTACTTTTGTTCCTGAATATTCACTGTAAACTTCAGGGGCATGTCTGAAATGGAGATATTCTGGCAATTCAGATTAGGGAAATTTGGAGCACGGTTTGAATCTAAGATTTTTTTATTTGGGCCACCAATAAATATTAATATTAGAAGGAGGGCGGGAGGTGCTTTAGCATGCTGTCTTTGTCTAACGGCAGATCACAGTGAGTCATGATTTTGTCCTTTGCAACCAGAATAAGACTTACAGTACTTCAGAAGATGATCTCAAAAATGAAATCTATATTAATGAGAAGCATAACATTTGAGTCACTAAGAAATGAACTAATGTGGAGAGAAAACCCAGCTGTTGCACAAGCTTTAATTTTTCTTAAACAGTTCTTGAAGTTTAATTTTATAGGCCACATTCCTGCTGGTTAAATTCCCTCACTCCATGTTTGCGCAGCCTTCTACCTTTCAATTTTTCAGCCTCCAGGTGGATACAGTCTAAGGCCTCCAATAAAGATATTTGAGTTAAATAGTTGAGTTTACAAGTCCTTGAGGTAAAGGTAAGGATTTGGGCCCATGATCTGTGGTCCTTATTAAAATAGCACTTCCATAACCCCAGTGCTATTAAAATCCCTGTGAACTCAATCCATAAATTCAAAAATAAATGTTATTCACTATTTTATGCTTGGTCAGTGTGTGGAAGCCAAGAAGAGCCTTTGCAGTGATATAAGGGCAAAAAATTTCTATAAGGGATTTACATTTGTAACTTCTCTTTTGGGGAGAGGGAAGTTAACTTTTTGCACCAAAAATATTCATTCATTACCTGATCCAAAGCTCAATGAGGATGGAAAGATTTCCATTCACTTCCACAGGCTTTGCATGAGACCCATACTGAAAATTCCTGTGGGTGAGAAGATGCAGGGGGGAGCAGAAGTGTCAGTGCCAATTTGCAGCTAGAAGGACATACATTGTGTGTTTTATGCCACATGGAACTGCACGGGGAAAACCTGACTCACACACCATAGAACCAAACAGTGATGTTTTACTGTCATTGAAGGCAGTACAGCTTGTCACATTAGATTATGTTCATTAGCAGAAGGCTTTTTACCAGGGAGAGCCAAAACAACGTAATGCTCGTATTCAGAAGTCAAAATAATTTACATTGTTTTCTAGTATACAGCACCTAGCCCAGGCTCCCCTAATCTGTTTAGTCACTAAGTAAAACTACCATAAACCTGTCTATTAAATAATAAAAATAACGATATGCTGAGGCCATATGTTTTTGCAGGAAGTGACGAGATACAAGAAGATGTTCCTAAATTAAACCCACCTTGCTTTGCTTTGGCTCTCCAGGAACAGCGAGGGCAAGAAGTAGCAAAATCTACAACAGAACAGGTACACACTGCTGGTTAGATAAGGATGTAAAAATCTCCGTTACCTACTCCTGCTGCTGGACTTTTCCAGAAGTAGTCATGTATCTAATAAAGAGATGGATTCTTTACTGGTAGAAAGGGCTTGACTTCTCGTAATCTTCTGTGCTAAAATGGAATTTGACTCTGGGAGTGCAAATGCCAGCCACAGTCTACCCCATCTGATTTTTACAGGGAAGTAGGGTTTGCTTGATGTCCAAAGGGCATACTTCCCTGATCCTATTACCTCCAGACTGAGGTTCTTCCACATACTTTAATACTGATTTTTTTTTTCAGTAGTTCTGACTTTAAATACTTCTGGTTATAAAGCACTGAGTTATCTTTTGGTAGAAATGTGTGTTCTTTGTTCAAAATTGCTATCCCTGCCTATTCAATGGGTGACTGAGTAAAGCAGCTCCTTAAAAAAATAGTAATGAACACACAGAGATAAATAAGCAGTAGAAAGTGGTGCCTTTCAAGTACTGTCATAATACTAGTCATAATACTTCTGCGGTTCTCTTAGGAAGAGCACTCAAACATTTCACAAGCAACTACAGCAATTCAGAAGAATCCTGCAAAATACAGCACTGTTATCCCCACTCCATAAAGGCACGAGTGACTCTTCTGAGTAGAGCTTAGAGTAAAGGCTCACAGTCAAGAATCAAATTAAAATTAGGAACTCAGACCTTTGCTTGAATTACTAGGAACCCTTTCTCCAGGTTGAGCTAGTGTCCCTCCAAGGATTCTTGTACAGAAATGGGAAACACTGTGGCTCAGAGCCCACAGCATACTACAACTTCATTAGCCAGCAGGCAGCTCGTTCAAAGGAGTCTGTACCCACTTTGTATCAGCTGAAGCTCTGCTCTGAAATCGGTACTCCGGCTTTGCAAACTTCTGGGTATCTCTCTCTCTTACTCATATATCTTGCCACAGAACCTTTGTCCTGCATTTTTGGGGGAGTACATTTTCACCTGGGCTGAACCCAGTCCTTCCTGTTTCTAGGCATGACTTGGGCTGGCTAGAAAAGAATATAGTACTTTAATATTATGACTCCACAAAAAAAAGGGGGGGAGGACGGGGGGGGACGACAGGACACCATAACTCTATGATCTAAAACTTTCCTGTTTCTGCTGGTAGGAAGTGAGATATAGGTGAACTCCAAGGTTTACACTCAAAATTCCTTGCATCTGCAAGAAGGCTGTCTGCCCATGGACAGTTTGCCTCAAGAAACCTGTGGCTCAAGCATTTATTTCCCATCCTTGTATTAATTTTTTTCTTTGCCTTTAGATATTGAATAACAATTGGATTTTCTATACAGTAAGAGCACACACAGAGAAATCTATGTAAATTAATATTTTTAAATATAGACATTAAAGGGGGAGGGGGAAGATGGAATATTTTACCCTGAACATTTTTGTTTAGAGTGTTTAGGAAAGAGATGGTGCATCTTTAAATTCTATATGGTATAAAGAAATGCATTAAGTTGCTGGTCAACTCTTTTAAGGTGTTTAAATGCATGGCTCATGACTGTTATGTAAAACTTCAATACAGCCTTACAACAAGGGTATAGTGTATTTGAAAATATGGTATACAGCTTGGAAACTTACTCTGAGTTTCTCTGAGGTGTTGAACTTTGCCATCAGCAAAAAGTATATTTAGTAAAGAGGCCTTGAATTTTCAGACAACGGAGATTTCATCAGGTTGGGTCTCTGATTTTTCCACTCCAGAAAAATATTAAATAGCTAGAATACTTTATTTGTAAGTATAATTTATCTTTTGATTCCATGAAGTAGAATTCATAAGGCTAAATCATGCCCAGAAGTGAGAAGCAGAGCTGTTGGCCCAGTATATTCTTTGCAAAAATGAAGGGCAATGTTCCCCAGGGTGGGCTGAGAGCTGTACCCTGGAAGCGTGCTTTGGCCAGTGGCTCTCCTCCTCTGTGCAGGCCCCAGCTACAGCCCTCTCTTCTGCCCAGTCAGCACTGGCAAAGTCACTAGGAGTGATTTTGTGGATTTGACAGGGCTTTGGAGCAGGCCCCATGTATTGCTGCAAGCGGTGCAGACCCTACTAGCTCAGAGATCACCCCGCCTCCGTACTGCCATCTATGAGCTCCGACCCAGCAAGCTGTCCCTCATACTGGGCTCTTGGGGTGAAACAAGAGCCACGCTAGAATGCCTTCCTCAGCCTTCTCGTACCACAGCATCTTGGGCAAGATTTAGCCTTTAAACCAGTCATCCTGTAATAGGGTAATGTGTCACTAAGCATGTCTGTCACTAGGCTACAGAAAACCTCCTATTTTGCCGGTCAAATAATACGAATAGATTTTTCATGTTTATTGTTATTTTCATTTTTTCTCTTGGAAAAGCTGTGTGAAATTGATCTAACATTGGAGAAAGTGATTGGTGTAGCACTAATCTACCTTATTACTGTGAACTGTAGTAATTTATTAAGCAGATTTTAAGCTAAACGCACAGACTTCTCGTGTTTTACTTTATACAAAGGTCAGTTTGAGCCCAATCCTGCTGCCTTGGGACCTCATTCCAGGTTCTTTTGCACCAGTGTAAATGAAGAGTAGTTCCACTGAAGCTGAGTCAGGTATCACCGTGTATAAATCAGCATACCTCCGCTCGCTCGTAAGGCTGGCTCAAACCAGCTGAGGATCTGGATTAGTAGAGTCATCCTGAAAACCACACATTTATGCTCCTGTGAAAAACGCTACGTGTAAGGAAGACAAAAGGGGGTTTA